GTTAAAAGCAGGGAGAGCAAGAGGTGTCTGGAGAGAGGCAGGAATTAAGTCACACAGGGCTTTGAAAGCCATCCTAAGAATTTGAATTGGGAAAGCTCTGGAAATGGTGGAGAATGGACTGAAGGAAGCCATTGTAAATACAGGGATACCAGATAGAGGGACAGTGTAATCTGAGTGAGAGATGATGGTGGGTAGTGGCAATGGAGATAGAAATTCAAATGTATCAGAGTTATATGGGAAGAAGATTTGGAGTGAGTTATAGACTAAGTTTGAGATTTGTTGAGTTTGTTGTCTGTGTGAGACATCTTAAGGACAATGTGGGTCTGGAGATCTGGGCTGAAGATACAAATTTAAGAATCATGGACATATTAATTGAAATGGGAGTGAATGAGATCATGGAAGAAAAGAGGGTTTCAGACTGAGTCCTAGAAACCAAACCATTTAAGGATTAGGTAGAGGCATTCTGAAAAACAAAGTCACCTCAAACCAAAGAGAATCATCAGTTATTTGAAAAGGAAGCCTGGGTAAGGGCCTGAGGTGTACTTGGTCAGGGTCTGTGGATGCCAGTAGCTGGGCTGGGTACAGCTGTGGCTGTCAGCAGAGCTAGCTATGTGCATGAGGGGCCAGGGGAAGTAACCCTGACATGACACCATACTGAGGCAGCGGCCTCCAAGGTGGAATCCACTGGCATTAATCCTGACAGGTTACTCACCGTTAGATATGTTGTCTCCTCTTTGGGTGTCTGAAAACCTGGCTTGGGATCCTGGTCCTCCACTGAAAAGCTGTGTGGTTATGGCCAGGTCACTTAACTAAATTTTGGATTCTGCATCTGTAAAATGTAGGATTATCTTAAGGATTAGCACCATGGTGAAATGGAAATCTAATTATAATAGTTTCTGAACAATATCCTTCCTGTAAGAGTGCCTGGCCTGGGCTTACCAGGGGTACCTCAAAACTGGACAAATGAGAAAAGTCAGCTCCTTTTCCCGATCCCTCCCTCACTAAGCAGGACAACCTGGAACAAGGGACCATCTAACCTTCCTCTTCTTCCTCCCTGGTAGTCAAGTGCTGGCCTGTGCCTACAGAACCTTTTTGTCTTGGAGGTGGGGACAGATGCTTCTGCCTTATCCCACCCCAGTGTTTCCCACTAGGGTGTAGTAGAACAGGCACTGGACTGAGACTTTTTACACTAGATTGAAACACCCACCCATTGTAAAGGAGTTAGGATTGCCCTAATTCCATCTCGGAACAGAACACACCTTTCCAAAGCCACGGTGCTCACACACCCACTACATATATCTCACTAACTAGAGAGGTCATAGCTGTCTGGCTGAAAGTCTGTTCATTTTACTCCAATAATCTTACCCACTTTTAACTTTCTCCCTGCTTCAGTTCATTCCCAAATTTCCCAGACGACATATGCCAGTGAGTCTTTGGGCTTCCCTCATCCTCCAGACATATCTCACCATCCCCAGCTAAAACCTACACTCCACCCCTCCCTTCTTTCCCTCTTCCTCCCACCATTCTCTTCCCCCCTCATCCTTACCCCTCTTCTCTCATCCAGACCCTTCCCAAGGCCCCTCTAAATTATTAAGAAGGACAAGGAGCCTGAGGGGTGAACATTCTCACAGAAAATCCACTAAGTCACCCAACTATGAGGAGGCTGTTTTGAAGGAAACTTGAGTTTCTCTATCATCTTATCTCATTGCTATCTTCTCCAGCAGCCACCAGCTACATTGATAGAGAAACTCAAAGAGTTTCATTGGAAACAATGAGCGTAGCTGGCAGGAATGAGGTTGTGGCTTGGACACAATCTCCACGTCTGTCCGCTGTGAATGGCTTACTAACTTTCTGTGTCAGACAGCCAACTCAGTCTGGGATGGCACTAGTGCTTGCTGGCGTTGGTTCACACTGCTCTGTGCCACCACTTACAGCTGTTTTAAGTGTTGCCTTAGGGATTCACCTGAAATTATTGTGGCTGTAGATGATCTCTGAGCTGCCCTTCCTGGGATTGTGAGGACCCTAGGCAGTGGGCCACTTGAGCCAGGTATACCGTTCTGGTGACCTGGGCTCTCAATAGTGGCCAATACTGTGTTGGCTATAAATGATGTCCAGCCAGAGTGAGCCAGCCAGGACTGTGGACCTCTGCCTCCATCTCACTGGGTATAGAGATGCGTTGTTATCAGGCTCCTAGGGAGCAGCAATTCCCCCTTAGTAACAGTCACACAACGCTGGGCTCGCCGTGTCTGTGAGTGTAGCCAGGGGAAAGGATCAAGGTGCCTAGCCCTAACCCATGGCAGGGTAACTTCACCTGAGTGCACATGGCGCCACACAAGAGTACGTGCTGCTGGGGCAAGTGCCTCCTTCGTTGCTGCATTCCTTGTTGCCATTGCTCCTCACTCCTCACCCCTACCTCCACCCCTACCCCTCAGATGTCCATTAGGATACCCTGGAAAGGAAAGTGGCTGCCTGCAAAGCTGGCATGCACAGAGGTCGCCCCCAAATTTTTTCCCCCAGTAACAGTTTGTAGGGTCAAAACAACAGGAGGCTACTTGATACCACCAGGAGCTTGTCAAGTAAAGATTCAGAGAGAAAGGGGAAAAAAGATACATACAGGGCTGTCTGGAAAGTCGGAAAGTATCTAGCCACATCACCATTCTTATTATATGAACAATGGCTGAATACTTTCTGGACGGCGTGTGTATATGTGTGTGTGTGTGTGTGTGTGTGTGTGTGTGTGTGTGTGTGTGTGTGTGTGTGTTTAGCTACCTAGAAATGCAAACCATTCTAACTGTTTTACTTAAAAGAAAAACAAAAACAGAAAATGAGACTGATTATCTTGCAGTGGGGGCCATTCCAGAGAGAGAGGCTACTGCCTAGAGGCACGGGGCCCCTTTCCTCTTCCCTCTTTTCCTCTTGTCAATTAGAGACTAGCCTAAAACCAAAAAAAAAGACTCACTTTAGATGTCTTCAAGTTCAAGGGAAAAAAAAGAGGAACTTAAAACTTTAAGGACTGGCTGGGCGCGGTAGCTCACGCCTGTAATCCTAGCACTCTGGGAGGCCGAGGCGGGCCGATTGTTTGAGCTCAGGAGTTCAAGACCAGCCTGAGCAAGAGCGAGACCCCCGTCTCTACTAAAAATTAGAAAGAAATTAATCGGACAACTAAAAATATATAGAAAAAATTAGCCGGGCATGGTGGCACATGCCTGTAGTCCCAGCTACTCGGGAGGCTGAGGCAGAAGGATTGCTTAAGCCCAGGAGTCTGAGGTTGCTGTGAGCTAGGCTGACGCCACGGCACTCTAGCCCGGGCAACACAGTGAGACACTGTCTCAAAAAAAAAAAAAAAAAACTTTAAGGACCGAGCAAATGCCAAGTCTAGCAAACATAATGCTAGCCCTAGATCATTTACTGATTTATGAAAAACTCCTAGACACAAGGCAAAATAAAAGATAATTAAATAAATTATATGTACTATTTTAATACATATAATTAAATTATATATAAATATATAAATTATGTATATCATTTTTAATAATTTGATTCAACTGGAAATTCAAAATTCATATACTAATTTATATGTTATATACTAAAGAATTCTATAACAAAAAGATTAAAAACAGCACTTCATTGGCTTTAGTGCCTCTACAATATAGGTTCTAACTGTTTGTTTTTTTTTTTTCTTGAGACAGGGTCTCACTCTGCCACCCAGTCACCCAGGCTGGAGTGCAGTGGTGTGATCATAGCTCATTGCTATAACTTCAAACTCCTGGGCTCAAGCAATCCTCCTGTCTCAGCCTCCTAAGTAGCTAGGACTACAGGTGTGTGCCACCACACCTGGCTAATTTCTTTTTTTTTTAGAGACGGGTCTCACTATGTTGCCCAGGCTGGTCTTAATCCTAACAATCCTCCCCACCTCAGCTTCCCAAAGTGCCCCAGCAGTGGGTGAGCAACTGTGCTTGGCTATAGGTTCTAACTTAACATTTGTTAAAAGGTACTAATTGACAAAACTTAATCAATACTGTGATTCAAATTATAATTGTACCTGGGGATCCCACTAATTTAAAAACTCTGCCCCTATAATCTTGAGAAAGTAACCAAACACAAAATTTTTTAAATGAGTATGCCTCACTTTAACTATAGCCTTGCCTAAATTTCCCATAGTCATATACCCATTGCTGTAAAATATTCTATATTGGGCACAGATGATCTGACAAATAATAAATTAAAATTAAAGTAACCCTTCATTACTTACAAATTGGCTTGATAAAATGGGACTCCATGAACCCCTAGTTAAAATAGTTAATATATCCCAATATAAGTTAAAGCAGGGCCTTCAAGATTAAAACTTATTAAACCTAAGTTAAAGGGGAGTGATTATTCCTACTGCTTTTTGATTTAACAGCCCAATTTTGCCTGCTCTCAAATCTGGAAAAAAAAATATATAAAGGGTACCCTATGACAGATTACTAGAACCCCAACACTGTGGTCTCCCATCCACTAGGGCCTCATACCTAATACCTAATATTAAAAATTATACTGATTTTATTCAGTCAATGACTGGTAAATATTTTGCTCTCATAGATTTGGCTAAACTGTTCTGTTCAGTGCCTATTCCAACAGCCCCTCGGCTGCAGTTGGCCTCCGCCTCCGAGGGGACACAATGCACCTTTCCAGGCTACTCACAGGGGACCTCCACATGAGGTCTGTCATCACATATCACACATAATCTTTGCAGACAAGGTCTTAAGGACATCCACCTTCTCCAGGAGCACGGGTACGACATTACATTGAGGACATCCTCCTCCAAGAAGATTCCTTTGATACATGCATTAAGGACATTTGAGCTGAATCTAAAGTGTAAGCAGTCAGTCACTGTTGGCTAAGGAAGCTTGTACCTGCCCTCCTCCTCTTCACCCTACCCCTAAGGAGGAGGAGTGATGTCATGGATTGGTCAGATTCAAGAATACTGAACTAAGCCACAGTCCTGGGCGTGGAACCTCAGTGTGTGAAACAAAAAGGTTAGAGGTTGGTCCTAGTCTGGGGATGGCTGCTGTCTCTTCTCTCTCAGACACTTGAGGTAAGATGGGGGCTGGGCTTCTTCCTATTGGGAAGGAGATGCATTTTCTTCCTCTCATTGGAGTGCCAAGCAAGAAGCAGAGGGAGCCCGGGGAAAAGGAACCAGGACACGAGTTGCCCTTACTACACAGGTCCAGTGTGACCCCAGGGGTTAGGGCTTCACCATGGGGGTTGGGGCCAAAGCGCTAACAAGTAATAAAAGGTTTCCTTGCCTGCCATATCTGCTGTGCATATATTCCCCCAGGAATACTGTGAGGTGGTAGGGGGCTGGTGGGTGACCCAGGAATCTGTGTTCCAGCCATTCCTCTCTTGGCATTGAACCAGAGAAAGGAATAACCAAAGTAGTTTCTGGGAAAAGTAGTAAAGAAGCTGGGCGGGGGGGCGGACTCTAGGCAGAGTAAATAGCATTGGAAAGACAAGCAATAAACGGGTATGTTAATATGTGTGGAACAGTAAACAGTGAGAAAGATCAGCAATTAGAGGATCACAAAGGAACTTTATACTATACTGTGTGAGAAGGCCAGACTTAATCCATAAAAAGATGACATCCTGTGTTAGCTAATTGCTAATGTTACTACGGTACTTACAACATGCCAGGCACAGTTCTAAGTGCCTTACACGAATTAACTCTTATCATCCTGAGACACTGAGATAAATAAGTTGCCCAAAGTCCCACAAACAAGGAACCTAAGATTCAAAAGGGTTGAATAAGTGGCAGATCTGTCCTCTTTTACCAACTTTGCTAGTCTGCAGCCTTGGCTTCAGCAAGGAGACAGGTTCTGTTGACCTGGACTTACCAGGGGCTGACCTAGAAGAGGTGGCACTTGAGCTGAGACCTGAGACACAAGGGATCAGGACCAGCAGAGGCTGGGAAAACTTAAGGTGCAGGGGCTCCAGGGCGCCTGGAAGAGTGCTTTGAGAAACGGGGGCATCCAGCAAAAAGAACCAGAGAGAATGCCCAAGGTTTCACAGCCAGTGAAAGCCCCCGGACTACGCAGTGCCACATCCAAGAACAGGTGAGCAAGCTAGTGCCGCCCTCAGCAACAGGGCCCGGCCCGATACCTTTTTCTTATTTTTATATCAAAAGTTGGCTGTGATCCAGGTTCAGTTGTATAAAAGTAAATGCAAGTTTCTTTGAAGCAAGATTTATTGTTCCATTAAAACAGATTATTTTTCTTTCTAGAAAGGATTTGGAAGGAGGAATGCTTTTTAATTTTTTTAATTAGATTTATATGGCACTTTAGCATTAACGAAATTATTTTCTTATCTCATTGAGAAGTGGTGTTATAACTTTCTCAATTTTTCAGATGAGGAAACTAAAACCTAGGCAGTTAACTAAATCATGAAAGGAGCTGGGACTAAGGCCCCATTATTCAGACTCCAAATTCTATTTTCATTCTTTTTTTTTTTTTTTTTTTTTTTTTTGAGACAGAGTCTCACTCTGTTGCCCGGAGTAGAGTGCCATGGCGTCAGCCTAGCTCACAGCAACCTCAAACTCCTGGGCTCAAGCAATCCTACTGCCTCAGCCTCCCGGGTAGCTGGGACTATAGACATGTGCCACCATGCCCGGCTAATTTTTTCTATATAGATTTTTAGTTGTCCAAATAATTTCTTTCTATTTTTAGTAGAGACGGGGTCTCGCTCTTGCTCAGGCTGGTCTCAAACTCCTGACCTCAAACAATCCACCCGCCTCGGCCTCCCAGAGTGCTAGGATTACAGGCGTGAGCCACCGCGCCCGGCCTAATTATTTTCATTCTTTTTTTATTCTTTCATTCATTGAAGAAAAAATTTATTTTTTCTATGAGCCACCATGCCTGGCCACAGCTGTAATCCTAGCACTGTGGGAGGCGCAGGTGGGAGGATGGCTTGAGGCCATGAGCCAAGCCACAGCCTCTGACTACCAGACCTCCTCCTACCTTGGGGCATTTCCTTGTGGACAGTGGCACTCTGGGGCAGATCTGAGGAAGAAGAGATTTCAGGTTCATCCCAGGTGGCTGTGGACAGCCACAATGAGCTATTAAGTAACAGGTGGCTGGTTGGACATGTGGTTCTGGAGCTTGAATGCCCTAATGGTGAAGGAGACCATTTTGGACAATGGTGAAATGAGTGTCTGAGACAGAACCCTGGAGACTTTCCACTTTTTTTTTTTTTTTTTTTGAGATAGAATCTTGCTCTGTTGCCCAGGCTAGAGTGCCATGGTATCAGCCTAGCTCACCACAACCTCAAACTTCTGGGCTCAAGGGATCCTCCTGCCTCAGCCTCCCAAGTGCTGGGACTACAGCCACACACCACCACGCCCGGTTGATTTTTTTCTATTTTTAGTAGAGACGGGGTTTCTTGCTCAGTCCAGTCTGGAACTCCTGAGCTCAACCGATCTTCTGCCTCAGCCTCCCACAGTGCTAGGATTACAGGCATGAGCCACCGTGCGCCACAGACTTTCCACTATTAAGGGTTATCAGAGAGGGGGAATCGAGCAAAGGGAACTTAGAGCTGTATAGTCTAAGAGGAAGGAGGAAAGCCAAGAGAATGTGGAGTCTATTTTAAGAAGGGAGTGGTTTGAGATGCAGAACCTGATGTGACTGAATTTAGCAGGGCACAGTTAAATATGGGAAAGGTGGTTATGATCTGGAATTTGTCCTGGGAGGTCTTTGTGAAAGCCAGGCTTGAGGTGCACCTGGGCAGGCTTCATACAGGAGAGGGCCCGACCTTCCATGTTTGAAGAACGGCAAACAATACCCTCGGGTAGAATGAGGAGGTGGAGCTAGAGGCGGCAGGGAAGGTCGTACATAATATTGGTGTCATTCATTCACTGGCCAATTCATGCTCATTTAATGCTCAGAACACCCCTGCAGACTAGGAATTTACTAACATGAGAACACTCAGACCCAGACATCTGAATTGCCTTGTTCAGACAGTGCAGTTGTAAGGGGTGAAGCCAGAATGTTAGAATGTTGACATGGGTCTCAGTCCAGCTGTCACCACATGCGTCCTAGACTGTGGTGGCAACAGGGGAATAGATGAGAGAGGATGCAGGCTTGGCAGAGATGGAGAGGAGGGAACAAACAGGATGTGGAGGGTGGATATAAGCCGCGGAGAGGACGGGAGAGAGAATCAGGACTTCTGGGTGGGGCAACAGGGTGAACTTCGGTAGCATTTACTGGGGTGGAAAAAGCAAAATATGGGTTCACCGGAAGACCGTGATTTGGACTTCGGCCATGATGAGTCTGCCGGGCCTAGATGACATGGGGGGTGGGGAGTGGTGTCTGGAGGAAACGAGATGCACAGATCTGAAGATCAGAGTTAACACTCCGCACTGTGGGAGGCCTGACATGCTTCAGTGTAATCTTGAATTGTGGTTCCTTTTTACCTCTTAACCGCAGAGCTGAGAAGGGGCTGGGGCTGGGTTCTGGGAGAGACGTGACGAGGGAAGGGTAGCGTCCCGCTGATGTCAAAGATGACTCGTGGCTCACCTCTACCTCGGTTTCCCCCACAGATGGCTTTTCCCAGCCGCAGGTCCATAAACCTCAAGACTCTGGCCTGCCTTCTGGCGGGCATGAGTTTCTTGGCACTGCAGCAGTGGCTCCTCCAAGCCCCGAGATCCCAGCAGCAGGCGGAGAGGCGGGACGGCCCTACCGATGCGCCCGCGGCCACCACGCAGCCCGTGGTGCTCAACCCGGGACCGCAGTGCGCGGCCAACACCTCTGCGAACACCACGGCCGACTTCGAGCAGCTGCCCGCGCGGATCCAAGACTTCCTGCGCTACCGCCACTGCCGCCACTTCCCGCTGCTCTGGGACGCGCCGGCCAAATGCACGGGCGGCCCCGGCGTCTTCCTGCTCCTGGCCGTGAAGTCGTCGCCCGCGCACTACGAGCGGCGCGAGCTCATCCGGCGCACGTGGGGGCAGGAGCGCAGCTACGGCGGGCGGCCCGTGCGCCGCCTCTTCCTGCTGGGCACCCTGGCGCCTGAGGACGCGGCGCGCGCCGAGCGGCTGGCGGCGCTGGTGGCGCTGGAGGCGCGCGAGCACGGCGACGTGCTGCAGTGGGCCTTCGTCGACACCTTCCTCAACCTCACGCTCAAGCACGTGCTCCTGCTCGACTGGCTGGCGGCGCGCTGCCCCCACGCGCGCTTCCTGCTTAGCGGCGACGACGACGTCTTCGTGCACACCGCCAACGTGCTCAGCTTCCTGCAGGCGCAGCCGCCCGACCGCCATCTCTTCACCGGGCAGCTCATGCATGGCTCCGTGCCCATCCGCGACAGCTGGAGCAAGTACTTCGTGCCGCCGCAGCTCTTCCCGGGACAGGTCTACCCGGTGTACTGCAGCGGGGGCGGCTTCCTCCTGTCCAGCGCCACGGCCCGCGCCCTGCGCACGGCCGCCCAGCACACGCCGCTCTTCCCCATAGACGACGCCTACATGGGCATGTGTCTGGAGCGCGCCGGCCTGGCGCCCAGCGGCCACGAGGGCATCCGGCCCTTCGGCGTGCAGCTGCCCGGCGCCCAGCAGCCCTCCTTCGACCCCTGCATGTACCGCGACCTGCTGCTTGTGCACCGCTTCGCGCCCTACGAGATGCTGCTCATGTGGAAGGCGCTGCACAACCCCGCGCTGAGCTGTGGCCAGAGACACAGGGTCTCCTGAGGCAGGGTGGGCTGCTGGGTGGATGAGCGGCCTCAGCCCCCAGGTCACACCACGTGAGGGTTTCCGGTGCTGACAACGCCTCTTTCCTGCTCTGGGTACCTTCTGTGCTGCCACCCAGCTAGTGCATCTGAACCCTGGCTGCGCATCGAAATCAGCCGGCGGGGTGGCGGTCGGGGGTTGGGAACTACCTACGTACTGGCCCATCGCGGGAAGTTTTGGTTTTATTGGTCTGGGTGCTCTTAGACGTGTAGGTTTTTTTTTTGTTTTTTTTTTTTTTTTTTTTTGAGACAGAGTCTCACTTTGTTGGCCGAGCTAGAGTGCCGTGGCATCATCCTAGCTCACAGCAACCTCAAACTCCTGGGCTCAAGCGATCCTCATGCCTCAGCCTCCCGAGTAGCTGGGACTACAGGCATGTGCCACCATGCCCTTTTAGTTGTCCGATTAATTTCTTTCTATTTTTAGTAGAGATGGGGTCTCGCTCTTGCTCAGGCTGGTCTCTAACTCCTGAGCTCAAACGATCCGCCCGCCTCGGCCTCCCAGAGTGCTAGGATTACAGACGTGAGCCACCGCGCCCGGCCGACATGTAGGTATTTTTAAAGTTCCTCAAGTGATTCTAATGTGCAGCGAGGCTTGAGGGCCACTGAGCTAGGAACGCCTGTTCCTCCTTGCAAACCCAGCTCCGATGCCCTCTCTACAAGCCTGCCGGGACACGTAGCTCCCACATGCAGTCATTGTGCAGTGGAGCAAGTGCAGTACAAACACGAGTTGCCATTTCCATGGTTTCCCCTGCAAACGCTGGAGTCGGAGCTGGGCTGCCAGTCATCAGATGGATCCCCTCCCAGAAGTCAGTCATCACTGGGGACGGAGGGGGCATCTGGCAGCCTTCCTCCCACCACTGCCTCAGGACCCCTGTGAGGTCAAAATCCACACTGCGAAGTGGAAACCTGAGCCCCAGTCAGGACAGTGACTGATCCAGGGCCACGTGGGCATTCGCGGACAACACACCGTTTGCAGTCCCCCTACATTCACCCTGACCAAAGCGAATGGTTGTTTGGGTCCTCTGCATGCACACCTGCCGGCCAGCACCCACTCCCAGGCAGCAAGGACAGCCTCCTTGCCAGGGTCTGGGCCTCAGGGGCAGTCAGCCTTGGAGAACCAAGGTGGGGGGCTGTGGGGAGGGATGTGGAGGACAGTGCCGGGAGGCCTGTGGAGGCCAGCGTGTGGAACCGTGTCTAGGGTGGGGGGATCTGAGACAGGTGGACAATGGTCAGGGAGGGAGTGTCAGGGGTGACTGGAGAGTCTGCAGTGGATAGTGACTGGGGCTCTGAGGACCAAACGGTGGTCCTGACCTCCAGCAGCTGCCAGTCATCTTGGCAAAGTAGGAAATTGAGGAAACAGCTTAAGGGCAGGCAGAAATGTGTGTGACCAAGGTCCCGACTATGCAAGACAGATGAGAGGGTCTCAATTTCAAGGAGGAAGGAGGCTGGGAAAGGAGTCAGGAGACAGCAAACACCTTTCCCTGCCTTCCAGACCAAAGGCCAGACTCCTCAGGCAGCACTTGAGCTTCCTGCAGCCTGGCTTTTCCTCACCTTTCCATCCTCATCCTCGTCATCCCTCCCCACTGTCAGACTCCATCCGGGCCAACCACTTGTGGCATCCCTGCTTTGTCCGGCTCTCTCCTGCCTCCACATCTTTGCACAAGCTCTGATCTGGTTACCTAAATGTCCTCCAACCACCATCACCATCCCTGTCTCTTGTATCAGCTGGGATGCCTGTGATGGAGACCGCTAGCTGGCCACCAAATCTGCTACTCCCCACCTCCTGAGCACGCGCCTAGACTGCATACATTGCCAGCCTCCCCCGTCCCGCCCTGCCGTTAGCTGTGGCCATGTGAAGGGGCTCTCTCCAGTGGACATGAGTGGACGTGAGGTGGACCACTCCTGGACCCCAGCCCACCTCTGCTCACTTCCTCCTTCCCGTAGGCTGGAACATGGATGCACTCGCGACCCAGCTCTGACTTTGCAGGTGAGGACAACTCTCCAGGCCTAAGCCAGGGCTTCCCAACTATGGACATTTTGGGTGGGGCAGTGCTTTGTTGTGGGGGGCTGTCCTGTGCATTGTGGAACATTTAGCAGCATCCCTGTCCTCCACTCACTAGATACAAGTGTCACACCCCAAGGAATGCCACCCAAATACATTTCCAGGCATTGCCAAATTCACCTGGGTGAGAACCACTGGCCTAGAGGAGAGCAGGAAACCGTGAGGGTTTCTGAGTTACCACGCAGGGCAGAGCTGACCCAGGGTTGACTTGGAATGCTCAGCTCAGACTACTGAGGAGGACGATAAACTTTTATGTTTTTTGAGCCTCTGTTTCTTTGTTATAGCAACCTTGCCCTCCTAGTGTCTTAGTCTGTTTGGGATGCTACAATAAAAATACCATAAACTTGGCAGGTTATAAACAATAAACATTTATGTCTCATAGTTCTGGAGGCTGGGAAGTCCAAGGTCAAGGTCCCAGAAAATTCTGTGTCTGGCAAGGTCCGACTCCTCACCACCTTCTAGCTGTGTCTTCACATGGTGGAAGAGGCAAGCGAGCTCCCAAGGGCTTCTTCTTTTTTTTTTTTTTTTTAAGAGATGGGGTCCTGGCACCCAGACTGGAATTCAGTGGCATGATCATAGCTCACTGCAGCCTCGAACTCCTGAGCTCAATCCTCCCACCTCAGCCTCCTGAATAGCTGGGGCTACAGTCCTACAGGTGACTACAGGCACTACCATGCCCAGCTAATTTTTAAAATTTTTTGAAGAGATGGGGGTCTTGCTAGGTTGCCTAGGCTGGTCTTAAACTCCTGGTCTCAATCAATCCTCCAGCCTCAGCTTCCCAAAGTGCTGGAATTACAGGTGTGAGCCACCATGCCCAGCCCCGAGGGCCTCTTTAGTAAGGGCACTAATCCCATCCATGAGGGTTCTGCCTTCATGAGCTTAATCACCTTGAGGGGTAGGATTTCAACATACCAATTTGGGGAAGTGTAAACATTCAGACCACAGCACTTAAGTAACCTAATGTGTCCATTCTGATCCCTTGTTTCTCCCCAACTAGACTGGCTGCTCCCAGATTGAGGGGCCGTGTCTGGTTTACATCAGGGCTGGCACAGGTTTACTCAGAAGGAACCCATGGCAAGTCCCATCACTCCCACCCTGGGAACTTGAGCAGGCCCTCTCACCTCTCTGAGCCATTCTTTCCACGTGACGATCGATCGATCCACACCGGGGGCCATGGAATCCTCTGTAAACCACATGGGAGGACGCTGTCATACTGAATGTCAACTCTGGGAGGTGGAAGGAAGCAGGAGGCGGCGGAACCATCCAATTGACCTCTCTGCAGCCCTAGCCATGGACCCCAGTAGCCACAGCCACTCGTCCCTTGCTGGCCTTCCTTCTGAGCAGGCCATAGCAAATACTAAATGCTTTAGAGGTGAATGAATGAGTGGGTGAGGGCCCATCTGTCCCAGTGGTGTGGGGTGAATCTGCAAGGACACTATTAGTTTCCCATTGCTGCTGTAACAAATTCCTAGAAACTTGGTGATTTAAAACCACACCCATTTTTAACCTACAGCTCCATCATCCAACACAGGTCTCACTGTGTTAAAGTCAAGGCGTTGGCAGGACTTCATTCCATACTGGAGGCTCCAGAGGAGAATCCATTTCTTTGCCCTTTCCAGCTTCTAGAGGCCCCGTCAAGACCAGCAACGTTGCGTCTCTCTGTGCCTTGCTTCCGTAGCCAAATCTCCCTGACTCTTCTACCCTCCCCTTCCACTTTAAGGACACAGTGATTACTTTGGGCCCACCTGGGTAATCCAGGATGACCTTCCCATGTTAAAGTCAGCTGATCAGCAACCTTCGCTCCATCTGCAACCTTATTGCCCTCTGTCATGTAACCTAACATCCTCACAGGTTCCAGGAATTAGGGCGTGGACCACTTTGGGCGGCCATTATTCTGCCTACCACAGTGCCTGATAAATATATGTAGAATAAATGAAGAATCATGAAATAATGAACAAAAATGAATAAAAGAACAAATGTGCTTCCTTCATACAAACCTCCCCAGTGTGGACTTTCATTCTGGATAATTAAGTATCATTAATCCTGAATTCCCTGCCGGTAGCTGCCATTTGTCAAATGCTTACAAGAGACAAGAAAACAAGAACACTGAGGCCAGAATGCGGAGGTGTCCTCTGGAAAATCTGAATTGTGCTTTGATGCAATTTACTGTGTCACAAAAGCACTCAGGAAAGGGCTTTGAAAACTTCCATTTCCCTGACAAGCAGGTAAATTATCCCCATTTTACTAGAAAAGAGATTAAGATTCAGGAACTTCACAGCTCAGAAAGGTCGGGAAGCTGCAGTTATGGATCTGCTGAAGGACTCTGGGTCCTGGGCACCCCGCTTTGAAGATGGGTTGCTCACGTGTCCAGGCCCAGGGAAGGCCGCTCAGCCTGCGCAGTGCTGGCACCATTTGGTGCCACCTGGCGGGTCACCGGTGTAGTAGTGGGCCTCAAAAATATGAAAAGTTATTATGAAAACGCTGTTTCAAGATTCATTCCTGTCTATGGAGTAAAAAGCTTGTACTTTGTAAACCTCACCCTAATAGAAAAATCTGTCTCTGTAAGCAATGACCTTGTAACTGATTGTGTCAGCTCCCCAGCTGTCTGTAGTAAAATTTACTGTACTTGCCTCACCCAAGAAAGAATGCTCCCTGCCTTAACTGATGCTATCTGCTTCTGTAACCTTGCTTGCTCAAAGATTGTAATCAGTCCTGAGGCCAGGCAGGTGGTCTGAGGCAGGTCCCAGACCCCGCGGCTATGGAATGTATGATGTAATTATTTTTGTTCCACTATGGAATGTATGATGTAATTATTTTTGTTCCACTATGCCGTGTTTAATGTCATGTAGCCCCCCTCCAAATTAGTATAAAGTCTTCTCACCTTTTCGGCTCTGGACTGC